GACGTCTCAGAAAAAGTTTCATAACTCCTGGAGGAAAAGTCCGGAAAAGTTAAAAATTTGGATTTATAGGTGACTTAGTATGCTCTACAATATGACCATACTTTGAAAACAATCTGATATGACCATTGTGCATTGATAGTCGTGGCTTTCGTGCAGTAACTGCTAAGCGGAAACTCTATTTCAATGTAAGATCATGTTCTAAAAAACTCCGGCCTTTAAGTATATCCGTTTTATTCATTTTTATCCCCCTTATTTTAAGACATTTGTTTCTGTAAGACGCGCATTTTGACGTCTTACTTCTGTAATTGACGAAGAATTCAATCATCTCATATCTTTTCCATTCGGCACTTGTATTAAAAGAATAGAAGAAGATGAAAGACTTTGAAAGTTTTTGCGGTTTCTTAAACAAAAGTGCACTGTAAACAAATGTTACTTAAGTACTATCATGCTCATATGTAAGTGTCATCTTTTCTAAAGGATGTGCACTAGTATCAAAATAAGACTAATAAATCGTTCGTCTTATTCTGAGACGGATGCAATCAACTTATTCCCAACCGACTTATGGCGTCTCATTTTGGGACGCATTGTTTTTTTAGGGTGCAATGGGTCTATATAGGATTAACTAACGTCACATTAGGGATTGTTCGAAGATACAGACATCATAGAAAATCCCATTTCAACATTCATTCTACTTTTGCCTACTGAACCACCTTAATTGGTTGAGTATTCCTATTGAATTTCATTTATAATCGAAATTATTACTGGTATTGTCCTTCTCATTCATTACGTACAGTCACATCTCAGAGTGTTTTCTTCAACCAAACTTTGTTTTTGGCTCTCTAAAATCGTTCACTTTAAGATATTTTATTAATAAATAAATTATCAGTCATTGAAATTTTCAAGTTACTGGAAGAATTAACCGATATTTTGAAAACTTTAAGATGATATTATTGGTAAACATGAAAAATTGAATGATACTAAAAGCGTAGAAAATTTTGATCTATAAGGCAAATTGAAGAATGTTTAGTTTATTTATTTATTATTAATTTGATCATTTTTCTTGTTTTGTAAGTTTAATAGTAAAGAATAAAACTAAACTACACACTAAGGATGATAGAATAATGTTTCATGGTATAGTTCTTGTAATGTAAAATTAAGGACATCTTCTTGACTGTTTACATGGACCTTTGCAACATGGACGAATGAGACTACATGACCAACTAGTTTTAATGCACGGTCTAGGAGCTCCAGTAGAATCCTGTTGAAACATAGATGGACGAGGTGTTGACATTAATTTAGCTGTTGAAATGACTTGTTCAGTTGGTTTTTGGTGTATCATTGCTCTCATTGATCCAGGAGAAGTATGTACTGTAGTATGAGCAGTTGTATTTGTCATATTTACCATTCCAACAGCAGAAACAGTGACATTAGCTGTGGCATTTGCTGTTGCATTTGCTGTCACTTGACCATGAATTAAACTAACAAAAAGAATTGTCAATAAAAGTCTCAATATAGCTGTCTCGCTCATGATTAACAAGAGGGATCTAAAATAAAATATATTTTATATTATGGAAATAATCAGGAATATTTGTTTTAAAAAAAGTTCAAAAATATTATTTTTTGTTTTGTTTTTTGTTCAGAGCTGAGATTTTTGTATTTCAGAGCTAAGATTATACTTTTTGTGGTATTCTGAGCGCTAATATATGAAATGACCTGACTTCATTTTCATTAAAAAACTCTTTTTCTACTGCTCATCTACTGTCGCAGATCTTGGGAAAATTTCCAGAGCAATAATAGTTCAAGAATTGTACTTTGTAGATGTTGACCTACATCTGCATCTCCATTACAAGCAATACCACTTTTCTGTTTAATGGAAATATAGTTCTAGATATTTTATGCTGGTGTAAAATTAATAACAATAAACTTAAGCTACTTACCGAGATATAATTCTTTGTGTATAACGAATTCTTCTCAAGCACAATCGTCTAATATTTCGGTTGCTGAACGAATGACCCTTTGTATAAATTTTCACGTTCTCTTTTTCTCTCATTCATTTCTCTCAATTTTTCAGCAGAAAAATTTCTGCTTCAAGAATTTTATGTTAGAGAACAGTTTACTGTATTTGAACTTTTGACCTTGAGAAAGAAAAAATCATTTGATATTGATACAGAAAAGTTAAGCGTGACAATATATTGGAAATGATAATTTTTCGTAAATACTCAAACCGTGTTGTAGAAAAATATTCTGAATTCCATGAAACACTTTCAACTTTTGAACAACCTTCCTGTACCCTGTTTAAACGAATTTTCGTCTTATCAACCGACCGGTTTCGGTCAAACTGCTGGACCGGGGCCCGGTCGGCTTGGCTTATAACTAGAAAATACGAAAGAAAAAAGCATATATAGTCATTTTGTACTGCTCAAAGAAGGATAATAGTTGCATTCATTATTCTCTGCTTGAAATATTCATATTTTTCCGGTCTATACGTAATGCGTGCATGTATTGACCAATGTCTGTTATATAACTGTCTATGGTACTTGAACTTAACGTAATTTTTTAGCTCCGTCTTTTCACATATAATTCAAATCTGATGAATTCTTTTAATAAAAAGCCTGTGTGTCCAGAAACGGCCCAAATGCTGTTTTTACGCGGTAATAGACTTGTTACATAAGAATGTTGGTCCAGGCTAGCTCTGCTCCGGGCTATTCGACCATCCTGAAACTTGGGTCTTAGAGGTTTTACACCATGCTCTTCATTTCTGTCTCTTGGAAGA